TAGGTGCCAAAAATGGTTTGTGTCCAAAGTTGGGTGGGGTGGGGGGAGCATAGAGGTGAATACAAGCACATGCCATTGTTTACCTGCCAATGTTCATCATCTAAATTGGGTCAACCATTCTTTTCGTGGGGGTTGAAGAGGGTTCTGTTCTTTGTTGATGTCCTTTTTAGGTTAGTCTGGTTAAAAAGTACATGGGTTCCACTGGATTAGGTGGGGTTTATTCCATTTACCAGGGCCACCTATTTTTCCAAAAGGCCACCTATGTTTGGTGGGCTTGTGTCAAAAGTTGGGAGGTTTGCCTAGGTTTGGGTAGGTTTGGGTAGGTTTGGGTAGGTTTGGGTGGGTTTGGGTGGGTTTGGGTGGGTTTGGGTGGGTTTGGGTGGGTTTGGGTGGGTTTAGGTTTGGCTCAAAAGTGCGGGGGGGGAGGGTTTGTGTCAAAATGAGCCACTTGCTCAAAACCCGGGCAGATGAAGGTTAGCAAGGGGCAATCCCCTTGCCATAAATAGCTTTGGATATCCGCCTTCTTGATTTCTTGAAGCATGGTTCTGGGTCGACAACCGGGTTTTTATTATGACTCAAATGGGGTTGGACATATGGCTTAGGGAATAAACACCGTGGTGGACAAAATCCACCAAACGGCACCACTTGAACTTGGCATAGAACAAACGCCGATTGAATACTTGATAAACCACCGATCCCACCTTGTGCGGGATCTTGTCCCACCGTATCTCTGGAACTGTGCGACCTGTGCTGGGGATGATGGGCAGCCAAAAGGCCCAAAGGGGTAGTGGTGCTGGCAGCTCATGCTCAGAAGGCCCCCAACAGGCGATGTTTGAGTCACCCATTTTTAGAACAAGGTTGACTCATTCACTCCGGACGAATAACTCCCTGGTTGATGAATAGCTTTGGTGCATTCTGCTTGGATGTTACGACTGACTTTTTGCGAACTAAGGGGTTTTCCGTTAAACCACTAAAAGTTAAACTTTTAGCAGGGGAGCAGAAAGCAACCGAGATAGGGTGTCCCTTTTTTCGACCGGATGCGGGGTTTGGGGTTCCTCACGTCTTTGCACTGCCCAGGCCCAGCTGGTGTGCTGCTTGGCGACGGATTCGGCGCGGTTTGTCCTAAGGTCTGAACGGAACATTGGGAATCACTGGCAACGGTTTGGTGGGGTGGGGTGGAGTGAGGCGGGGGTGGAGTGGGGTGGAGTGGGTGGGGTGGGGCTTTTGGTGTCCCTTTTAAACAGCAGCCAACAGGGGGTAAGCCCGGATGTCATGGTGAACAGGACCCAACATGCGACCTATTTCCACCTTCTAGTTGACATTCGTGTTGCCACATTCGACTGACTTACTTCCCCTTTTCCCCTTCTCGGGTTTCGTTCATTTTCTAGAAGAAACCAGTTACAGGACACAATCCACTGCAAGAATCCACTTGTTTCTTGGTGGGTATTTGCCCTCTTCCCTGCAGAATGTCCTGGCTATGGCACCAAAGGAGTTTACTCAACACAGAAGCCGCTACGACAGAAACTCCACGCTTTTCACCAACAACACCACGATCTACAGCCCGCCCATTCGGCTTCTCACGCCTCGGCTTCAGGTATGCCCTTCACGAGCTCAGCGCTCGCGGCGTCTCTGCGCTCGAGAAGAAATGGCTCTGGGCCTCTGGGTCAAACATAGGGCCCCAAAATGGGTCTAGGCCCTGGTAAGCAGAGACATGGGCCAAGACCTGCGGTTGTCTGGTGGCTTAAGTTTGACACATACACAAAATTTGGGGCCTCCCTCGGCTTCGAATCCGCACTTCGAGACTTGGGATCGGTGCGAGAGATGGGAATGAGAAGTGGCTCAGCCCCGAGAGAAAGCGGTTTCCTTTACTTTGGTTTGCATTTTGCCAAGGGCTGTTAGGACTGAATAACTTTTTGCCAACGAATTTGGTTTTCCGCTAAACCACTAAAGGTTATTCACTTTTAGCAGGGGAGCAGATTTCGCCACCGAGTTGATTTGGGCATTCCCAACGGTCCAAACCAGGACCCTCCCCCCTCACCCCCCCCCCCCCGAACGTCACGTTCCAATGTCAATTGGTTGGAGGGTACTTTAGACAACCATGATAAGGATTTCTGGAAAGGGGCAGCATGACCACATGGAGAGTTTTGAGTCTGGGGGAAAATATGAGCAACTGACAAAATTATCGATAGTCTATTGTCAGCTTGGGGAGGACAAGAAGCCGGCCCACCCAAGTTTTCCACAGAAACAGGGAGGCCCGCCCAATGTTCCCATGTCCCGTCAGAAAACAAGTCAAAATGGTCTGTGGTTGATTTGGGAGCGACGTGACATGGGTAACTCGCCAATTTCGCACGCGAAAGCAGTGGACACATTTGTTTTTTCTTTCTTTTTTTTAATGTGCATTGCGTAACCAACATATTGTGACCGTCGCTCAGATGATCTAAGATCGTTCTTGCAAGTGGGAATCGTTGTTTGTAGTTCTGCAGTCGACACTTTTTGTATTTGTTGTTGGATTTTGTAGATTTCGGATTGATCCGGAGGACACTGCTAGTCAGAGGCATTGTCTGAAGGAAGCTAATTCCCCACTAACGGAATTACCCTTGCTTGGTGCCGTCCTTCTTTTGATTGATCTGAAGTTGACATTGACCCCTCCGCAGCATTTAAGACTTGATTGCCCTGGCTAGCAGCAAGCAATGAATCATGGCCTAGTTCTCATTTCGGAAAACACTTCATCTGGTTGCAAACACCTTGAAACAAAAACAACTACAGTATCTCACATGAAAATTGCAAGCATGATTTACTTGTGCCAGATAAGCATGCGACCTCGGCAGCAACATTGAGGTTGCAAATGTAAAATGCCACGAGGATTCCACACTGGGGAAAAGTTCGGGCCCACCCGCACACCCACTACAAGACCTGAGACCAGCGCAGAGTTGCACACTTTTGGCACGGATTCGAACGCGCAATGTTCGACTTCGATGAGCTAGAAGAGGCTGCGGAGAGATGCCAGGCTTTCAGGTCTTTACTCGGCTTTTGGAGTTGGCGCGAATGCTTTTTGTGGAGGTGTGTTTTTTTAGCGACCGTGATCGTAGTGCGAGAAGAATACCAAGCAGTTTTTTGTGGGTAGTTTTTTCCTCAACCACGTTGAGCATCGAGTAGAAGACCAAACCCAGGAAGCCCCCCGGTCTGTGCGACGACGAAACCCGTGAGGCTCAGGCAGCGGCGCCAGACGCTTAGTGCAGGGGGCGCACCTTGTGAAGACGGGTTCCTCTGGCCGAAGCTCCTTGGAGATGCTCCCTGAAGCTAACAATTCAGGTTTCTGGTTGAGTTTCTGGTGAGTGAAAGTTATTTTTGACGGTTTCTGGTTGGTTTGGAAACCCAACTTATTTTGAATCGGTTTCTGGTTGAGTTAAAGTCAGAAAATGGAATTTGTTTGTTTCCCAAAAAACAACACCTAACTTAGGGGGTGACTTTGATGGTAAAATCATGAGGCCAGAACATGTCCGAGCCAAGCGACATCAACTCAGGGCAACCGCATTTTTTTTGAGAGCAGATTTCAGGTAATTATATACACCTTTTTTCGGACAATTATGGAAGTGTGCCGTTCTCTTGAAAAAGCCTCAAACGTCCACTTCCATATGCTGGCTGGAAGAAGGGTGAACCTTGACTGGTGGTTTGCAACAGCCGATTTGAACCTTTTTTTGTAGAGGGTACTGCTGAGTGAAAGTAGATGGCACCATGCCCCCATTTGAGGTTTGATCATCCCCCTAACCGGCGGAAGAGGAATTGGCTGTGGGTCAAAACCTACGGCTCCATTTTGGGGTAGGTGAATTCACCACCCATTTTAGAACCTATTTTAGTGGCTGGATTGAATCGGATGTTCTCTGGGGGCTAACCGATTTGGATTTTGAAAAGCCCATGGCCAATTGAGCCATTTGCATTCACCCCGGTAGTGAGCTTCTGGATCACCTCCAAAGCACCGGTTAAAGCCCCAGACTCGCCCATGAAAAAATGCTGATCTCAAGGCCCAAGCCGGAAGAGGCACGTGCTTTGAGTTTGATTTGCCTGCGCTACTGTTGGACGAAAACGATTTCGCACCACCTGACAAACCCTGGAATGATGATTCGCCAGCAAGTAAAAAGCCAACCAACCATGGTTTCACCACCGGTGCGAACTGGATTTTGCAACCATCTACAGTACCTTCCAAAGGCACACCGATCGGGGGAGAGAGCCTCCTTGGCGCCCCACGGCAGGCGCCGGCTTTGGCCGAAGCTCAGGGCCCTGCGCGGGAGCCTGCCGAGGCCTTTCTGTCGGTGGAGCCGGCGTTGGGCGGGTTATGTTAACCCCGGACTAAGCAGAACCCCTGGTTGTTTTTTTAGGGGGGTGCTTTCCCCTTTGAGTGACGATTCGTTACTTTTGGAGGGAAAATTCTTCTAATAATGAGACGGGTTTATTAATCCTGGGTCAATACTAGTAAGGGCGAGTAAGGGACAATTGAGTCAGAAATAGTATGCGGCCTTCTCATTTCCTTGAATTTGGGTAGACCTTCTTACTACCAGGTTTTGATTGTGACTCATTTGCCCTCCTCCCAGTGGAGGGCACCCTCGCACGGAACTCGGAACCAAAGGTGGTCTGGGCCATGTTCCTCTGAGCCTGGAATCATTTTGGCGCCCTTCCAATCATGGAAGTTGAAGGAGGGTTTTGGAAGATTTGGAGGGCGGAAGCTTTCCTTTTTGGGTTTAGCCCTCTATCCACTTCCATGCTTATTGGGAGAGGCTCGGTATCCAACATTGGAACATGGCTGGGTCCGGGTGTAACGCCAAGAGGCCTTCCACCAGCGCCGGCTGAAGCCTTGTCAAGCCATGGGAGTTGAACCAGGGCTCTATGTTGGTGAGACCCAACGCCTGGGCTTCGCATTTGCCAGGCAGGCGAACCGGGTTCAGCGGAGACTGGGCAGCTTGGCAGGCAGTTCGTTCCGGCTCATTGCATTTAGGGGGTGGCCACCTGCACCGGGGCGGGCATACGAAAGGGCGTTTCAGCCCAACAGCTGAAAGATTTGGGGTCTGTGCCCAGATAGGTTCTGGATAGTAAAGGCACATTTAGCATGCGTGAGCTCGTGCCTACAATTTGCCCAGATATATAGCTTGCAACCCTGAAGCAAGGGACCCATCATTTTGGGGTAGTGACCCAATTTTTTTTGAGTCGTGGAAACTCCACGTCGCATGAAGACAGCCACTCACACAGAAACGGAATCCCCACTGGCCGTCAATTGACTGCAATGTTCATGCTCAGTTTCTGTCCAGCACGCCTGATCGAGCTCAGGCAAGAGACGAGGGCGAAGGAAGTTGAGGCCACACACTGGTCAAAATGGGTTTCACGTTGGAAAGAAGGGACACCAAAAGGAAAACCAAAAAGAAAAGTGCCATTGTTAGGGTCCCCTTAGTTTGACCCACCCTGTTTGGCCGATGGTCCATTTGGGGGAGAGATATGGAAAAAGCACTGAAACGCAGGGGACTCTCTCTCTCTCTCTCTCTCTCTTTCTCTCTCTCTCTCTCTCTCTCTCTTTCTCTCTCTCTCTCTCTCTCTCTTTCCCCCACGTGCTTATGGTGACCAAAGGCATCCCTGGGCGGGACCCATTTGTTTGATTGATTTTCAAAGTTCTTCCGGCCGGGGTCCTTGAGACCTCGGGCATTGCGCGCAGGCTCCAGATCGACCAGAACCTGCTCAGGAACCTGCTCAGGGACCTGCTCAGGGACCTGCTCAGGGACCTGCTCAGGAACCTGCTCAGGAACCTGCTCAGGAACCTGCTCAGGAACCTGCTCAGGAACTTGCGGAACCTGAGCCCCCAGTTGCCCAGGAGCCCGTCCAGGCACCTGAGACAACGTCCCGGCATGAAGCCTTCTGAGACGTTTCGGTTGGTTGAGAATCTGAGAAGAACTAAGGAGTGCCTTGTGAGAACAGCCAACGGACATACGTCGAATACGTTAGCAGCCCACTCAAGAGAATCCCCCTGTTTTTGGTCCACTCTCTCCCCTGAGTTGAACACTGAAACGCCGACACTCAACGGAAGGGAGTAACATACGCAGGAGGCCGCAACTTTGAGTGGTCTGGTCTGCTGACTGTATCGAAAGGCTCCACAGGAAATTCTGCAGAGTGCTGGCCGCGAAATCTCAGCTTTGCTGGCGGCATGGCTCATGTTCTGTTGAGTTTCTATGATGGAATAATGACGAGCTTCGGCCTTTTGGGATGCCTTTGGCCTTTTTTTTTCCGTGCATCACTTCCCTGAATTGTCCCACTGTCTCCATCTCCATCATGAATCCTGCTCCTGAATCCACTCCAGCCTCGTGACACCTGCGAAGTGCAGAATTTGTTCTTGCAAAAACCTAGAGTGCCTGGAAGAAACTTCTAACAACGCTTCCTGCGGGCTAGGTTTTATTTGTCCCTAGTACGGACTACCTTTCGTTCACCCCCCAGCCTGCTTCGTTTGTTGTTTTTTTCCCCCGCTGGGACTTGCTGTCATGTTGTGAAGTACGTGGCATTGGTCAAGCCAAACAAAACCAGGGGACCAGTTCGTATGTTTACGCTACCCCTATGGGTAGTCTCTTTTTGGAGGCTACCTCTTTGGGGTGGTTTCAAAGGGGAGTTTGAATCGGACGCCGCTCATGATGTCAGATCGGGGAACCCAAACTGGTGGTATTCCTTTTGGCTTCTCTTTGAACCAGATTGAAAAAGGGTACCGAGCCTCCAAAAACGCAAACTCATGTTATCATCAGGCCGTCAGGCCATCAGGCTTGTCCAGGTTTTCACTTTGGCCAGGCAGTGCGACCTCAGGGCGAAGCACCGAATGCTACCTGGCTGACATGGTTCCAACACTGATTCAGCATACCAAGTGGGAAGATTATAACCCTCAATGGTACCCTTAATCCCCGAATAGCCACTATTGGTAATAAGGCAGAAATGGCTACTCTTGCTATGGCTGTAAATCAGCATAGAACTTGTTTTTCAAGAATCAACCATCAAAACCCGGGCAATGTCAGCTTTGGAACAATCAGACGATCCGGGTGGTTAGCCTTTTTACCAGCCAACCGAGTAGAATCCGGAGTTCACATCTATGGGACGTTGCTCATGGGCCAGTTCCAACCACTCCGTAGGTGCGGAAAGCTAGATGCCGCCCTTTTGATTCTTTACATTGGGGATGACATCGAATTTGTTCAAACCGTGCTTTGCGACGCCCAGTTTGCTTTTGCTCAACCAGTGGCAGCTTTGCACGCCTGGCCTATTCTTAGCGCAGCTTTTGGCTGGGCTTGGTGGGTCCGCTTTCTTAGGGCACACAGAAGCTTGGGTGGATGCCTTGAATACTGCGAATAAGGACACCCCAGAACTAGCTCCTTTTTTATTATGTGTTTTTTGGTTTTTTGGGGTTCCCTTTGTTTTCCACTACCAGGCAAGAAAGAAGTTTTTTTGCTGGGGTCCCAATTGCAGCCAAGTAAGGACACCCTCCAAGGTAACCTATTTATCCAGGGCTTTGTGGTTGAGGGTTGGTTTACTTATGGCAGAAGCATCCACCGAACCAACGCCTTCTTGGAGAGGTGCTACCCTCCACGTTTTGTTCAGGGATCCTTCTCAGAAAATTGCCAAACACCCAGCGGGGAAGTATGTGTTTTCTGAACAGGAGCACCTGTTTTTGAAGTTCCCCCCTATTGTGACACACCCATTTGGTGGACAGCCCCTTGATCCGAGGCGAAGTATTCGCCAGGGATGTTCCTGGAGTGCGTGAGCACTGTGCTGATGAGCCTCGAGCTGAGGAACCGCTACTTTTCGATTGGCCCAAGATTCAGGAAAACAAACACAAAACATGGGCATGACATTCTAGGTCCCCCAGTAGTGCCCTTCTCTCCCCTTTTTTTGGGGGGGGGTTCCCCTACTAAAATAAACTACAGAAAAAAGTTGGTACCCTTGTTCTAACCTCTCTACTGGAGGACCTAGCATTTAATTGGGGACCCTTTGGTGGACATCATTTAGGTGGGGCTTTTCTGTCTACCAGCCACCTTCCGGCGGGTTCCTTATTTGCATTCATGGCCAAATGAAGCCCTTGTTTTTTTTTTTTTGGTCAGGGTTACTCCGAGCCTCTAAGAGATGATCCGAGGTCCAAATTCTACCAACTGCCGAGAACTTTGGAGCACCCTTTGGGTGCTTTGAAACAAACTCCCTGGTGGGTGAGGTTAAACACACTCCCTGGTGGGTGAGGTTTGCCGGGGTAAACTGGCCACTTCAAACGTGCGCATGAATCCCCAGCTAAATGATGTGCTCAAGAGGTGCCCCAGTGACTGTTTTCCCCCAAATGTGGAGCCTCAAGGGTCGGAGTGTTTGCCCCGTCTTTTGGCTGGATTGAGGCTGAAGGACTCCTGATTTCCTTGCTTGAGCCAGGCAAGTGTTTCATGCCAAGCCAAGGTTTGGGGGGGCTATAGTGAGGCCTATAAACATCTTCAGCATGTTGAAGTCGGGTGAACCGGGCGCTCAAGTTGAACCACCGCGGATCCCCAGATCTTTCGCGGCTCGTGGGGCAAGAAGCCGCCGCCAGACAGCCACGCATGGCGCGGCTGTTTGGGCACGGTTGCCAGAAGTAGGGGGTGTTTCTTGGGACCCTGGTGCTGCCTTTCCTTTAAAGGGGACAACAAAAGAGAGAGCAAGAAGGGCCCCTAGCTTTGACAAACCCCCCCCAAGAGTGGTTGCAGTGCCTAAGAGGCCCGACACAAAGCCAGGGTCAAACAAGGGGCCAACTGCTTGCCGCCCGCCGCTCAGGGCAGCACGAGGCCGGTGGCATCTCGAAGCGCTTGGTGGGAAGAAAAAGAAGAGAAAAACGTCGGAGCCACCGCAGGCGGAACCTTTGGCAAGATTGTGGTCCCAACGTTCACCCAAAGGATTTTCCCGACCAATATTGATTCTCTCTATGAAAGTGAAGATGCCCACTGGATAAATAGCCCCTGTTCATCATGTTGACCCAAAGGATTTTCTCAAGCAATGTTGATCTGTAGGGGGGAACACCCTCCCTAAAAGTGATGATGCCCCACTGGATCTAATTAAACCCCTGGTTTATCAATAGGGGGGTGTTTGTGCCTCCAAAAGCGATGACCCACCAATCCCGGAAACACCCATATTCATAAACTGGGGGGTGATTATTCTGGGTTAACAGTACATGGTCCTTCGTGGACCCTGATGCTTAGTGTGAAAATGGCTCCGCTTGCTATGGCTTTGAATCACTACATTGACATGACATTGGCATGTGGCATTTTTTTTTCGAAACTGCTTGAAGGGGCAGGTTACTTCAAAGGGTAGAAACCCTGGCCAAGACGATTTCCCCCATTTGAAAGTTCCCTGAGCACTTCCCTCTCACCCACCAGTTCCTACGAAGACAGTGGACTCCCTAAATGTTCGCAAGTGAACTATCCACATCCAACTGCAACACCTTGGCACATTGCGGCAATTTGGACAGGTTTCCAACCTTGGCACACGGCTTTCTTTTTGCCACCAAGTCACACACTGTCATGAGAGCCACTGCGGACCATGAACTCCTGATGGCTTCCCTTGCTCTGAATCATTGGGGTGTGGCGATCCAAAATTTAAGAGCCAGGGACAGCAGGTTTTAGACCCGTCCATTTACCAGGGCAACCCATTTTGGGCCCCTACTTTTCTAGAAGTCGGTTTGGGACCAACAGGGGGAAGAACAGGTACAAATCCACCAAAAGGCGCATCCAAGCCGTTTCTAAATACTCTGTGAAAACCATGCGCCTCTTTCTTCATGACGAATCGAGGGTAAACCCAAGTCCCCAAGTCCCCGGCCGGCTTCGCTTTGGATCCGCTCCTTGCCAAAGCGCATAGCCGGTTTCTGGAACTTTTGAGCCACGGCCGTTGGGCTTAAGGCATCGGCTCGAGGGCCGCGGCTTCGTCGCAGGACCTGGACAGCCCGCAGCTGGCGCGGCTGCCAGCATCGACGCTGGTGGAGGCGAGTGGATGGGCCTGAGTGCGACTTTTCAGCCATACGCGCAGAATTCCCAGTGGGTGAGGTCAGACGACTCAACCAATATGGGGCAATTGGGCCATCTACTTTCGACCTGTACCCTTTGACGCTTTCAGGTTTTTAGGGCTGATTGGAGTTGGATCACACATTCCGCGAAAAAGTTTAGCCTTTAGCAACGGATCAACGAACCACAAAGTGAACAATGGGGGTTGGCTCCCTTTCTGTCGCAAGGCTTAGCTTACCTGTTAAAACCCTCCTGGCCCCGTGCCTAAATTGGGGAGCTGTTCTGAGGTCCATGTTCTTGTTGGTTAGAGTGTTCCATTGAATGCCATTTGGCTCAAGTCACAAGTAGGGCTCAAGGTCTTGCATGAACTACGTTCGCACGTGATCGATCAGATAGAGTGGAAAACAGTTTCATTCGTGCTGCGGATACTGAGCGTACAACCGTGGTTATTGCGATTTACACTGGTTCGGCTATAACGGTTTGACCGTATACACCTTTCTACGTGGTTGAGTTCACACAGCTGGAGGGTTCGGTGGACAGCGTCTCACGGGACGTCACCTTGCCGTCTCTCGACAGGTTATCAGCCGTAATCGCAAGCTCTACACTGGACGGAGAGACAGCTGGTTTATTGCGGGTACAAGAACTATAAAGGGACAATAACCTACACGGTACAATGGCATCTTCAGCGAGCCCAAGTACTGCAACTTTTGGGAACGACAGCTCAGAGGGATCCAATGGATTGATGGCTCTTCCTGGGTAATGGATTTGGTCGCAGATTCACAGGACGAACCTGGGAGCGGAGGATCCGCACTATTCAGCGACATATCCACACCCACTAGGTCATGGAAACAGATCGCTATTCACCAGGAGTCGAAGCAAAGAGAGTCTCCACCGAGAAGATCATCATCTTCGCCAGCGACTCCGCGGACGTCGCAGAAGGGCGTGAGGTCGACATCGAAAGGTGGGAGATCCAAATCACCCACGAGTGCCGAGTTTCGCGCCGCGATTAAAGAAAAGAACAAGATGGAGATGGAGATCGGGGAGTATCAGAAGACACTTGATGAAATGTCGGCGGCAATGGCGAATCTTCATCAAGAAGACTATGGGAGCACCATCCGGATCCAAGAGCTGGAGAGACGATGTGAGATTGCCAGCAAGCAATCGGGGCATCTTGTGAGTCATCACCAACACCACATGGCAGAGGCCTGGCGCAAGTTTGAGGAGGAAGCCCAACAGATGCGCAAGGTGGAAATGAACGCATATCAATACGGGGAAAAGAAGGACATGGAGTCGAATGTTATGATGCAACAGATGAGACAAGCTGAGGGAACTATTATGGAGCAGAAACGGGAGATTGCAGTGATGAGATCCTATATGGCAAGCGAGAAGTCGGCCGCACAGGAATCAGCTATACATGCAACTCAGATACACCGTGAGGCTTCACAACAGATATCAGTTTACCAACAACATATCAGAGGTATTGAGTCGTCTACATCTATCGAGAAGTTCAACGAAGAGGAGATGGTTCAAAGTCTGAAATCACAGTTGGAACACGCACTCGTTAAGCGTCCCGAGATGTACTCGATGGAGGACACCAGGGAGCAGCTGATGACGAGACTGAATGACGTTACGACATTCGCAGAGCAAGAATCCAAGAGAGCAGAACGCTTGCTTCGCGAGAAGGCAGGAAGAGATCATCAGACAGTATGAATCCGACGTGTCGAAGAAGGACCAGATGATTGCTATCGAGGGTGGTCATCGTCAAGATGCAATCATGGAATTGGCCCAGGTCAGAGAAGCAAAACAAGAAGAACGGTGCACGATGGACGAGAAATCGAAAGAGGCCGAGTACTGGAGGTTGACAGCTAAAGGGGTGTATGATGAGTACCACTTCAGGGACAACTGAAGGATCGGGAGGCGACGCTCAAACAAGAAGAGAGTTTCGTTCGTCAGCTCGATGCGGATAATGAGGAACTCAGGGCACTCAAGAAGCTGGAGATACAGGAGGCCTCGAGCAGTAAAGATGGACATCGTGAGCGAGCAGTAGTGAAACGCGCTGAGGGAGGACCCCAAACTAATTCGACTAGGGGAGACAAGAAGGTGACTGGGTTATACCCGTCATCATCGTCTAATCTGATCCCTAATTCGCTAGTGCCAGGTTCGATTCTCTTTCCGTCTTTCGGTGATCCAATGATCGATGTACACCTATCACAGATGCAAGGGGTTGTTGGGCAGGTCCCACAATCTGCTACTACGACTGGTGGTGGTGGTAATGGAGGGGGAAACGACGGTACTACACCCCCATTGGATTACAGTGGATTCTCGCCCGATGGAAATCGACAAGGGCCAGGTCGACGTCAATTGAGCCTAACAGGTGGTGGAGGGGGACCTCCAGGTGATCCATCGATGATGAGGACGAGGATGACGACGACGAAGAGGATGAGGAGGACGAGGAAGAAGAAGAAGATGACAGTCGGACACGGAGGGGGCGCAGAAGATTGAGGGATGATCGCGAGATCAAGAACGAGAGACCGAGGATTTCAAGGAAAGAGGCTGAGAGGGTATCCATTCCCCCTTGGCCAAAGATCCATCAACTCGACAACTGGAAGATGCAAATGCTGATGAATGTTCTAAGCGCATGCGCAGATCCAGATACCGACACGTGGACGAAATGGTTGGAACAGGCTCTTGGGTTAAACCCAGACCTCAATTCTCTGAGCGACTCCGGCGGCGATAGATTCGCTACAAGAGACATCAAAATGGCCACGGGCATGCAGAACATGTTGAGACAAGCGCCAGACGAGGCCAAGGACGTGTACCTCGATGCTACGCGACATTCGGAACTACGACATCAACAAGGGGTGATCGTGAAGGGACGAGAGTTGGTGGCATTGGTCATGCAATCATTCAGGACGTCTGATCGAACGGACCTTGTCTACCACATCGAGCACTTATTCAACCTCGACTTTCCTGGAGACAAGAATTTGGTTGTATTCAGGAACAAGTGGTATGATTTGTTGCTGAAGATGAGGAGCGAGGATAGACCCAGCACATTGGCTCTCAGAGATATTCTATACAGGAAGATCAAAGGGAGCAGGAAGATGGAGTTTGGTCTGAATGCCTATCGGTTACCAGACAAACATCCTCAAAAGTCGTATGAATTCTTACTGGCGTTGATTGACCACCAAATCAAGTCGGATCGAGAGGATCTGATGCTCGACATGAAGGAGAAGTCGGTCAAGTCAATGATGAAGTCGGGCGGCAAAGACGCGGCTCCGGCTGCCGGGAAGAAGGAGGGACGAGGTGGCAAAGGGAAGAAGGACAAATCCGAAGGACCCGATGCCGCTCCTGTGCTCCCAAAGGCCAAAGCAAAGGGTCACGCTGGCAAGAACGGCAAGTCCGATGGTGCCAACGAAAGAGGCAAGAGTCCGAGCGGAAACAAAGAGAACCCATGTTGGTACCACTTCAAAGCGGAGAAGGGATGCTTGAAGGGGAATGAATGCATGTTTTCCCACAGCAAGAAGACGGAACACAAGCTGGAGAACCTGCCTTCCTTTGGGAAGGGGAAGTCCAAATCCAGATCGTCATCACCGAAGAAGGAGGATGGAGTATGCTTCGCGTTCCAGAAGGGAAAGTGTGAGAAGGGAGTGCTTGCAAATACAAGCACGAGCTCATCAAGAACAATTCAGCTCCGGCAACGTCAAGTGACAAGGCGCAAGCCAAGTCAAAGGCTGCCCCCAAGGCCGCAGCACCAGCGATTGTGAGAAGGGCCACCGCCATGCCTGCGATAGTCTTAAAGCAATCGGCCCCTGCGGGAAAGGTCAGCTTCAAGAAGGACGTTGATCAAGTCGAGCCGGATGAGACCGAGACTGTCTACCACGAGCGTGATGACGATGCAATGAGTGAATCGTCAAGATGGTCTGGCAAATCCGAGATCCCCGAGAAAATGGTATGGTTCATGGAAGTACTCGACGTCGACGAGAACGGGGAGATCACCTATCTCGAAGACGAGAGTAGGCGATGGAAACGAAAGGGAGAGTGGTACGGCTATGAGGGCAATGAGAATGGTCCCTACCAGTACGTGCACATCGATGAGAAGAAGTTCAAAAACAGTGATCATCGAGAATTATCAGCCTATCAAGTCCAACGATCATTGATAAGAGCAAAGATACTGGAAGAGGTGGTGGACGATGTTTACAGAAAACACTACTTTCCGGTGACCAAGCAGAACACCATCGTGTTCGAATATGATCGAATTGAGGACGAGATCAAGGAAGCGGTCATCGACTGGAAGAAACAGCATGGTCTGCCGAAGAATGTGTTCGCAATGTCAACGTGCATCAACAAACGGGTGAAATGGTTGATGGACAACGGATGCGGCCATGATCTCATTGGACGAGCCAAGGCAAAGAGCCTAGGTGTCGATATTGTGAAAGATGATGATGAGATTGTGTTCCAGACCGCAAATGGTTCCACATCCACATCTGACGTGGCCAAGATAGTCGTGGACGAGTTGGGCGAGACTGTCGAGCCGCATGTGTTGGATGAGACACCCACGGTATTGTCGATAGGGAGAAGATGCATGAAGATGGGATATGCTTTTCACTGGATGCCTGGTAAGCTACCTTTCATGGTTACACCAAAGCAGGGATTCGTACACTTACAAGTTGCAAGTCAAGGACGACATCCCGTACCTCGTGAGCGATGGTAAGCTTCGGAGTAACAGGCATCGCCCTACAATCGATGACCTCAAGGAGCACTTTTCGAAAGTATTAGCATTGGTCACGAACAATGAGGCAGATCAAGATGATGGTTGAGGGCGAACATCATCATGGAGCGTTCGACTTCGGACCACCCGGAGGAGCCGGTCGCGCCCGCCTCCCGTAGCTGAGGAAGTACCAGTAGACGTTGGGCCAGACCCATGTCTCATGGTGATGCCGAAGCTAACGAGGAAGAGGTTGATGAGGATGATGCAGATGCT